TCTGCACAAGTGGTGATTCACGGCCGTTTGTAAAGGTTAGTCCTGCAAATCTTTAAGAAAAGTTAAAAAAAAAGAAAAACAGATAAAGGAAAAAAAGAGGCGACTGCAGGTCTTTCAGAGAGTGGAAATAGAATTTTCCACAATCTATATCCTCCACAGGGGTCCATTCTTCCCACAGTTGGTGGCTGTTCTCCCAGGCTGGAAGCCCCAGCGCTCCCAATAACACTAATTGCTTCAAAGTCCCTGCCCAGATAAGAAGCAGATTTCGCTATCGTAGGGCAGTTAGAAGTTAATTTATTTTGTTAACATAAACACTGCTGGGACACATATAAAAATTCCTGTGACCCTACATTAGAAATATCAAAGCATTACTTTACAAAGACGTATATTTTGATGTAATATGTAATTTCTTTGTTCTACCTGAAATCTTATCTGATTGTGATAATTTTCTATGAAGCACGGCATTTATAGAAAATCAAGATCAAAATCGTCAAAGAATATTTGGATGCCCTGCTATCAGTAATCAGTAATTCTTTATAATCTGCTCTCCAACAGACGTGGGGTGGTTCTTGCATTTTATTTGGTTGTGTTGCACATAAAATGTTTCTATGAATTATCTTACGTATCTGGTTCTATATTATTTCAGCTTTAAAAAGAAAAAGTTCAATTCCAGTTATCTCACGTCGATGTTTTCCTATGCCTTACAGCTGCCTTTTCTCTAATCTGTCTGAAGAGCCAGCACTAATCCATAATGTACTGCACCTGCTAGTAGATTCCACGACCTCGGAGATTGATATACATGAAGAAGGAAAGCTCATTAACCAGACTGGGTGTATGAAAGTTCAGCAGCCAGCACATGGAGAAGTATATCATTGCAGTTCCATTATACTCTACTGTCAATTTCAAGTACACTGCTCTTTCAGGTGCATATTTTTTACTCACCTGAATTTGCAATTGGCCAACAGAACAGGCAAGGGTTAGTGAGTCTAGACACTGCTCTGAACTTTGGAAAACATAGCAGATTTCCTGGATCCAGCACTGCTATTTTAAAGCATTCTAGAATCTGAGCATTTTTAAAGGTATCTGTCAAAATGTAGAAAATTCTGTTTTCATAATATTCTTTGTATAGCACAAAATTAAAATGAGTTAGAAAAAAAATAAATCCAGTAAGGCATATATATTTCAAGCTTTTATAGTTACTGGTGACACCATCTGATAAGACTCCAGACTTCCTTTACTATTGTCAGCTGCTGCATATTTTATAGGGTACTGTCTCGACTTGAATGATGGTGGGTTACCTAGTATAAGCTGTTTCACCTCATACATGATTAAATTATATTTCTTCCTGTCTGAACAAAGATTATATTGAAAATACAGGAAGGATTTGGCACCAGGGAAATACATGTTAGTATTTGACAAGTGTGGAACAGTGTAGGAAAATATCAATACATGATGAGGTCATGATAGAATCTAAGAAAAATAAGAGGAAGTTCACTGAATGTTAAGTGGACAGATGCCCAGCTATTCTTTTGAAATGCCATTCAAACGGCCCTTATATCATTTAATTTTCAATTGTTAGATTCATTTGGGCAAAACAAGTTGGTATCCAAAGAAATCAAGAAACCTTATTCCTTGCAGTTTGCTGAATCAAAAGACCTAATACGAAACAGTAACAGGAGTTCATATGTGAGTCAAAACGTAAAAACGTATTTTAATTTGCATTTTCTGTTTTATGGTAGATTAGAAAATAATCACATTTTAAAATGCATAAAACTATGAAAACAGGATACCAGCTAGAATAAAAATAAAAATTAAAAAACTGTTGAAAATGCACGAATGAAAAATAACAGAGACTTCTGAGCACAGAGGAATACAGTTCTATTCTAGAACAGGGCAACACAAAATAATGTGAATCCCTAAATTGGAAGCTGGACAAGGAGAGAAACTACGCTGTCTTGGTGTGGTTCATGCCTTTTGACAGCAAATCAGAGAAGTTATAAAGCAGAAAAAAAATATGCAGAACTTTTCAAGGTTGTTTAATGCAGTCCCTTTCCTTAAGGCAGATGAACTCCCAAGGCAGTAAGAAAGAACTGTGTAGTTGTTGGTTCTATTTTACAGTATTCCAGAGAGGGAGGGTCCAGGATATTCCCTCATATACTTTTCCCAGCTTTTGTTAGCCTCGTAGGATGCTTATGAACAAATAAATCCAGAAACTACCAATCAATTCAGAATGGTTCTGCTAAATTTGGCAATAATATTTCTTTTAGTATACTGATGACGGAAAAAAATTTTTCTTCTCTACTTCCCTCAATACATCTTCTCTCAATACATTCTTTTTTCTCTCATGCATGTTGATAAGTTACCTTTTCCCCTTTTCTTCTGACCTTATAGTCATAGAATATAACCAAATTCATAATGCTGGTTTGTAATATTTCAAATTAAACCTACTTTACATTTTTTTATGTTTTACAATGAAAGATACCCCATGACTTAACTGGATGAGAGTAGAATCTCAGACTTTTAGCATCAGATGAGATACTAAAAGTAATAGATTTCACATTCCTTTAAAATTTAGGTTTGGATAACTTCAGTGATTAGGAACTTAAGATGTCATGATGCACCCACGCATTTTTCTGGCAGATTTAACCTATCCTCACATAGTGTTTATCCTTATATAATGCTGGAATTATACCACTATCTTATTTTAAGGCAATTTTGGGGCTATTCATTATTCTCCATTAAATTTCATCTTGCTAGATTTGGTTTATCATTCCAATATGCTAAGAAAAACTGGACTTATTATCTTCGGGTGTATTTACTATCACTGCCGGCTTTATGTCATGCTGTCTATATCCTTATTCATCTGTTCATCAGCATACTAAAAAGCCAATACTAAGGACAGAAATCTATAGATCATTTACAAATCCACAGAGAAGATCACCATACAAGAGAGATGTCATAATATACAAAGTCTATAGCATTTCTATGATGTGAAAGAATAGATCACTAATGAAAAAACAAAATAAAGTTGGATTGGCCTTTAATCTTTAGAGCTTATACTAACATTAGTGATCACTTATCCTACTTATAAGTCCTCACAAACATCACTTTTCGATGTTTGAAGTCAGTTGTAACAGCAGGGAGAGGAAGTGGCCCTCTCTCTGGATGATGTCATGGATGTTGAATGATTCCCACTGAAAACATTTCCCCAAGGGACTTTGATATCTAAAATGATGCAACTATAGATCTTTCCTTTGGAAACTGGCTCTCAGAATACAAACACAAGTGCTCAAGATAGAAATACTACATGCTAAATAGTCTTCCATCTTATTTAAAGGACCAACTAACCATAAGTCTCTGAATGACGCTGTATGAGGGGTACAGAATTCAAAAATTTTAAAAGCAGTTATAAATCCATCTCCTTAATGACAAGCAGGCATGGACATCCAGGTAAGAAACAGCAGTGACACAGATCTGAGGGCAGAAGGTATAGGGGAGGCGACCGTCAGTCCTGATGCTTACCCACTTCCCCTGAGGAGGTGACCAGAGCAAATGTGGGGTCAGATGTGTAGCCCCAGAATGAAAATGGTGTGAGGAAGTGGCCCTTGCCCCTGTGGAGATCAGAGTCTCAATTGGCAAGGGAAGGGACAAAGAGAAAGGTTTCCCACATTTGTTTTCATCTCCCACATGCACACCTGAAATTCCAAGAATTATTTTTAGAATATCCTTGGCATTTTTCAGTGTCAATGAGTTTGAATTATATCCAAAAAGATGGAATAGCTCAGATTTATCTCCTTAAGGAATACCTTTGAGGCACATTGAAGATTGTCTAGTTCATCGAGCTTGTTTTACAGAAGAGCAGCAAGTTCTGAGAAACAGTTTCTTGCTAAAGATTGTAGAGCATTCAAGCTGTTCCCTAACTTAGGGCCATCCAACACAACAGGCCTTCTGGGTTTGTTTTCTTTTGTTTTTAATAGCCATGTAGTTTGAGGGGAAGGTCTTTTTGATTACTCATATTTGGTTAAAGCACTTTTCTCCATACTTCCCTACCCCTCCAACCTAATTTACAAGTTTCATTTTTACACAATGTAGGTTTTTATTTAATCAAGAATTTAAAATACCAGACATAACTTATCTAAATAATTCATTTTAGGCATACCTGGAGTTTCACCAGAGACAACTGAGCTATAGTTTTCTTTAAAGCATGAATCATTTTCTCTGAGTATGGAAATTTCTTACACTAAATAGGTGCTTGGCATACCACCCACTATTTCACATTTTTTGTGTGCACTGGGATGTAGAAGGGGACATGCTTCTTAGGACCTCAGAAACAGAACCTTTATGGGAGAAAAGTCAGAAAACTGAAATAATCCCACCATTATTTAATACATTCCCACACTGCTATACTTTGCCACATATAACAGGAAATAAAATTGCAAAACTTGGAAAGACAAAAAGACAAAATTAAAGAAAAAAGGGCTAAATGCTTTATCTTTGATTCCAAATAAAATTAGTCAAGATTTTCAAAAAGGCCTCAGATGACCCTACTATAGAAAGATAACACTTAGCTACATATTTTCAACCCAATTTGAATTGTGATCATTTTTAGAGACTGGATGAAGTGAGCCTACCAATATCTCGAGCCAGAAGCAAACTCAACTCACGGACAAAGTACGCATCATGGATGATATTGTGAATGTCAGTTTTTAGCTAGAGAGCTGCACATTAATATGTCTTTACTACAATTCGAGAATAGAAGTCAACGTTGAGAACTTACATTACATTTAATTGTTATATTCAACACATGCTTCTTAACAAATCTGTTTTTCTTGATTGAAGATCACAAACGAATTTAATAATTTGAAGACGTAATCTAATTTCTCCCCAGTAGGACTGGTATTTACCAACTAGTCTTGTGAAAAGATTGACAACAGAAACAAAATGAAACACATATTTGAAAATTCTGTTATTACTGTAAAAAGCATAAATAGGATACATACTGGGTTTAGAAGGATTGTGAGGAAAAGTTCACCTCCTCTGATACTTTTATCCAATTCTTGGGGTCCTCCTGGATACTCTTTGTAGAAAATAGTGTGGGTGAACAATCCGCAGGTCTGTCGAGGGAGGACCTGAGGAAAAGGGGGAAAAACAGTACACTTTGCCTGGAAAACTCTCAAAGCCACCCAAACAAATAGACATAGAGAAAGTCTTCAGTAGTATAGAATCCCCAGACAAAATTTCAGTTTGGAAACTTCAGTGGATGATCTATATGAATCTCATTCCCAATATTTTGAGCTCGTCTTGGATTTGCTAAAACCATCCCACAGCTTATGAAGCAAGCTTATAGCCAAACAATGTATTAATTTGTGACCACTCACCACTATGGGATGTTAGGAATTTATAATACTCATGTAAAAGTGGTTTGAAGTTACATTTTGTCTTCATTCCACATGTAGATATTAAGAGCCTTCAATACACACAGCAGTATGTGCTCACCATGATGCCATTGTGAATGAAGCCCTTTCGGTACCGTGCAGGTTTCAAATGCGGATACTCTTCAGTGCTGGTGACCTGAATACCCCAGACCTTCTTCCAAGCTGCATACAGCTGAATATGAACCGGGTAGACCCCTGAGTGATGTGGCGCCACTGCGTAGCCCATGTTGATGGGTATCCCATGTTCCTAAAAGGAAGTCAGAACAGCATCATGTGAAGTGTGGTCAACTGAATTCTATTAAAATTGTTTCCACAAACATCCATTTAGGACACACTGAGTTCTATGCTAGCTATGAGCAATATAAAAACTAATAGGATGGAGTTTTTGTCTTTTGGTAGCTTGTAAACTTAAGGAACTCTGGTGGTAGGACAGACATAGTAAATACTTTGGGAATGTGGTGTGTGGGTGAGATTAATTCTGAACTTTGAATATAGAAAGTTTTGGAGGAAGATAGACAGAGAACATGGCCTTTCCTCAGATAGATATAGAAAAGAAAATGTCACTTGAACAAGCACTCAAATGTGAGAGATGGAAGAGGACTCTGTGTGTGTGTGTGCGTGTGTGTGCCTATGATGTTGAAGACAACCAGAAAGGTAAGTAGGACCATAGAGTGATGAGCCTTTACTGATAAACTGAGGGAGTTTGAATTGATGAATTAATTCTATTTGAACAGGATAGATATGGAAGCTCTCTGAGCATGAAGGGCCATGATCTGCTTTATGTTTTAGGAAGAAGGATCTGGTGACAACATGTTAAGATGAACTAGAAGTGGGGAAGGAATGAATCAAGGCTGTGCATTAGGAAGCTATTGCAATGGCGAGATTAGAGGGAACATGGGTACCTAAACCACATTATTGGTGGTAGGAATAAAAGCCAGCGGATAAACACCGTACAACATCCAATAATGTTTTGGGTACAGAGGGTAAGGAAAGAGTAAGGATTAAAATTCTCCCCTTGGTTTTGGACCTTAGCAAATCAATTTATTTTTATGAAACATACAGTTTACTATCAGATGCTTGCCTAGGCTAAACAGTCAATTCTAAAGGAAAAAAGGTATAAATTTAAAATAAGAATAAGAAAAAATTACTAAAGAATGGTATTATGTTGTAAAGTACATGATATAGATCTTCAGTTTTCTAATTCCTGCTTCTTTATACTTTTCCGTTTAAATGCTTATCTGCTTTATAAAGACTCCTTGTAGGATTGATTCTCATCAATTGAGGTTTTAAATGACAATATACAGTAATATATGAAAGCTGATTGAATCAATAAACAGAACACAAAAGTGTTGACAATTGCCATTTATATTTTCTGTTACATGGCACACAGCATAGGAGAAGAATCAGTCTGGCATAATAAGCAAGCAGTGAATGGATCACATATCTACAAAGCCTAAATCATATGCCACACTCAGCTCAGAAGATGGGCCCTAAATATTTCGCAAAGCTCCATCATTCTTCCTTTCAGGCAATGACCCTCATTGTATAGCCAAATTCACCTCTCTTTCACCAAGACTACGTGTTTTCCAACATCTATTACAATAAATGACTCCGTGGAAAGACTGAAATATGAAATCAATGCTATAAAATGAGCCAGAGTCTTTTGCTATAGGTACTAGGGCAAATTCATTTCTTTGTGTGTGTAGAAGAAAAATACTTCTTCACGGAGGTTATATTTTTAATACAAGGCAAGCTTGAAAAAGTCCAGTCACAGAACTACTTGGAAGCTACCAGAGGGAGCAGGCTGCTACTGTTCCCTGACTCACGACTGAGGGCCATGCACTGGGAAATGCCTTAGTTCTCTCTGGTTAGTTCCACGTTGCCCAGTTAATTGCGGCAAAGCATTCTGAGGATGAGCATCATCGGGAAGCCAAGATGTGGATGCATTAGGTATGACACACAGATGAACTTCCTCGTGAGAGAAATCTAGGGTCAAGTGTGTTCAAATCCCTCGATCTGGTAAGAATTTGTGTGACTGCTGCTTAGCGAAGTATTCCCGATTTACGAGAAAGGGAAAAAGAATCTGTTATGCTCTTATTATTCCTTCAAGTGGTTCATACTGAGGTTTTGTAATCGTCTTGTCCTATGATTTGAAAAATAACGAAATCAACAGTGCGTGAATCTTAACAGTCTGCACTAATCACTTTATTAGTCCTCATTTTCTACCATTGTATAATATTTTATTCCAAATTTGGGGCCTAGAACACGAAATAAATATGTGGATGTTCCAGAAACAAAGAGATTGAAAATAAAATTGTGAAGAAAATTGAAATATCAAACAACTGTATCTCTTCAGGAAAAAAAAAAGACATTTCACTTTTGACAGGTAGTGAAATGAATTGTAGAACTTTCATGAAAAACCAGAAGCTAGAAAGCAATTGATTTGGTGAGCAGGAAGGAAGGGGCAGTAAAAGGATTTTATTATATTTATTGATTTCTAGGGGCTCGATGTTATACTGCTCATAAGGTCATCTTATCACACTGACAAGCAGAGCTCAATCAAAATAATAAATCACACTAGATAATTATGAGTTTATACTTTTTCAACCTAAATGATAACACACAATGAAAAATAAATTCCCTAGAAACTCTTTTTCTGTTATCAAAGAGCTTGCTGAGCTAGAAACCTTCATTCTTTATTGTCCAGAGTGTAAAACCCACTTCACAGAGGCTTGGTCAACTAAAAAGTGAACTAAACATCATATTTATACACGATCACAAAAATTACAAAATTTGAAAGACTTTCTAATGTGAATATTGGAAACATTTGAAACTATAAAAATGTACATCTAGCAGTGGAATAAACTAATTCAAATATGGCATTTGTTATTTATTAAAACAGCATCTCTTACAGGATCTAGGAATTCTATGGTGTTACAATATGAGACGACACCACAAACATTTACAGAGGAGTTTAAGTCGATCTAATTTTTCCAGTTATGTTAAATTCCCAGTTGATTGGGAAATGGTATAATATGGTAATTTGCAGACCATATGAAAACAGGGTCACCAGTTTTCAAAACGTAGAATAAAATAAAATATATTTAGCACTGAACCTCTAACAGTAGCTGGCATGATCTCATTTAATTTTTCTTTGATCATTCCTACTGATCATATCTGCTTGCAATTGCTTAGTACCTGATATTTATGATGTGTTTTTACATTCATGTCTAACGTGATACTCATAATTGCCCTGTGAGATGGCCTGGATGTTATTATCTACTGTGGAAACTGAGGCTCCGAGAATGCAAATGACTTGCTCATGTTCACAAATGTCAGAGCTAGAATTGTACCCAAGTCCTCTAAATTCATAGATTTTGCTTTTGCCTTTCTACTAAGTTGCTACTACTGTGACCCTCCAGTTAATGACCCGAAGCACTGTGCTGACAAAAGGGAATTGATTTTAACATATATTTCTGATCTGGAACTCCTATCCACTCTATTTTTACTTGGAGAAGCTATAAAGCAAAATTATACCTTTTGCAAACTCCTCTGCAGCTATCCTTTTTTATGCAAACAAGATTCAGCCAATTAGAAGTACTCAGGAGAGAGTCCAGAAAGCAGCAGGTGGGCAGAGGCTAATGTCTGGCAACTCCTGGCTCTTACTGCTGGCAGGGAAGATCTCGAACACAGGAGGCTTTCCTGAAGCAGTATGTGGTGCCCTTTTGCAAGGCAGTGGTGGAAACTTAACTGCTTACTCCAGAGCTCCAGTGGTAGCTTCAGAAGCAGTCGCTGCCCTAGGGACTCAATTCTGTCTGGCTCTGCCAGTCCCTGGAGGCTGAAGAGCCTAGAATCTGCTCCATCAGCCCTTCCAGTGTATATTTGGAGTTACTTAAATCGTTGAATAAAACCTTTCCCTCTTTAAAATAACCTCAAGCGGCTTCTGTTTCTAGCAGGGAAGTCTGACTAATACAGGTGGTCTTTGCCCCTTTTTTATAAGTATAAAAGGTTTAAAGGGTTCAGGTGAGATGTCAGTGGTTTGAATTCTAGGAAAACAAAGGAAGAGCTTCCTAAACCATAGCCCAATATTTCTCCAAGGAAACTCATTGATATATAGCAAACACCTATTTGTCTAGCTGGATACTATCGTGTTATATATATATGACTATTAAATCTTATGTACCGATCAGTCAATGGCTAGTGTATAGAGAAAATAAACAGGGCACTAGTTTATTTAAATAATAGATACCACAGGTATTTGACACGTCAATACTGTAGTGAAACCATATAATGTAGGTAACATAAAGAAGGGGGACAAATCCTATTGAAAGGACATTGCTCTAATGGATTAATTTTGATGACCACAACCACGTCTGTGCCAGCATGCATTGTAACACCCCTTCCTGAGGATAACCCATCCTAGTAAATGGATCAAGACCTATGTAGGCATCACATGCAGAGGTAGAAAGAACCACAGGTGAGCACGAGCAGCACTCTGGTCAGTCACCGGTAGACACTTTTTAGAAGACCTCACACACCATAGGAAACTGGAGGAAAAAAACGAGAAAAACGGGAGTTGGGAGGATTGAGCTCATGGACTTACAGGCGACATTCCTGGATCTCTCACAAATAGCAGGACAGAAACCTGAAGAAGGAATGGAGGTCTTGATACAGAAAGAAAAGTCAGGCAGATGTCATTTTCCCTATTATTAGGACCACAGGTTTGCACTCCAGGAGATACGGCTTACGAAACCAGCCCATAATATACTTAGGATGGATTTATGTGCCCAGTGCTTAGCAGCACGCCTGGCACATTGTTGTGTTTAGTAAATATTTTTTAAAGGAAATAATAAATTTAAAAAGTTATTAAATAAATTTACCATAGATGTTTAATAAATGAATATAAAAGGAAAGTAAATGAAATAATGATCTCATAAATGAATGTACTTGTAGTAAAGAGATAATGCATTAAACAGTACCCTGTTGAATTTTAAAATATCGATTTGTCCTCCTAAATATACAACTTCTAGTAAGCAACACTGGTGCTAAAGAAAATAGACCTCATTATCTATTTTTCCTTTTAATAAGGACTTGGAATCATATTGTCAACTTTGAGAATGATCCTAGGATCATTGATTTTCCACTGTGTTTTGGGAACTGAAATTGTCTTCTGTTTTCATAAGTGATAAAAGCAATGACTGTGTGACCCTGGAAATTGGCTGGGTCAGTCCTGACACTTCTTGGACT